TCATTGATTTACCTATTTGTTCCTCGAACATTTTATTTACTAGGCGTTGGTAAGTAGCTCCTACATTTTTTAGCCCGAAGGGAATCACATTATAACAATATGTTCCATACTTGGTGACAAATGAAATCTTTTCCTAGTCTTCCGGGTTCATTTGGATTTGATTATACCCGGGATGCTAGAAAAGTAAGGATCTTATGTGTGGCTGTGGCATCGATCATGCGATTGATGGTAGGCAGTGGAAAAGAATCTTTGGGGCATGCCCTGTTTAAATCCTTGTAATCTACACACATTCTAAGTTTGTTCCCTCTTTTAGGGACTACAACTACATTGGCTAACCATTCGGGATATTTCACCTCCCGAATGGACCCTATTCTGAGAAGTTTAGTTACCTCGTCCATTATGAATGCGTGCTTTACCTCGGATTGGGGCCTTCTTTTTTGCTTTATTGGTTGGAACCTAGGGTCCAGGCTTAGCCGATGCGTAATTATATCTGGTGGGATCCCTGTTATATCTAAATGGGACCAAGCAAAATAATTCATGTTATCGATAAGAAATTGAATAAGCATGTTCCTGAGTTCGGGGGTTAATCCCGTTCCCAGGTATACCTTTCATTCGGGCAAATGCTCGATTAATATGACTTGCTCCAACTCTTCAATCGTTGATTGGGTAGTGTCGGAATCATCGGGAAACATGAAGGATCGATGGATCCTTTGATCATCATCTTCATCGATCTTCTGATTTTTTGGTTGGGTTAAAGCTGTTGTCTGTGATTGCTATTTGGCATCTTGTTCCCCTTTTGAGCTCTATCCTTTTATTGGCAAAGGCGAGGATATCAGATTCGCTTCCTCGACGGCAAACATTTCTTTTGCGTCCGGTTATTCTCCGTACACTGTTATGACCCCCCTCCCCCTCCCCCCCCGATGTTGGGAATTTAAGAACCTGGTATAGGGTCGAAGGTACAGCTATCATGTTGTGGATCCATGGCCTTCCAAAAAGGGCGTTGTACCTCATGTCGCCTTCGATTACGTGGAACTTCATTTCCTGGATGGTCCCGGCCACGTTTATCGGCAGACTTATCTCGCCTTTGGTGGTTTCACATGCCATATTGAATCCGTTTAGAACAGGGTCGCGAGTATGATCTGGTCCTGTAGACCGAGCTGTTGTACGACCTTCGATCTAATAATGTTGGTCGAGCTACCTAGATCAATTAACACACGCTTAACTTTAGTTTTATTCATAAGTACGGATATTACCAGTGCATAGTTATGAGGTAGTATGATTCCTTCTGCATCTTCATCATTGAAAGACAAAGTTCCTATAGGTGCGTAATCCTGAGTTCGAGATCGTTTTTCTCTCACAATCGATGTCTTAGTGCGTTTAAGCACCGGCCCTTGAGGGGTATCGACACCGCCGATGATCATGTGAATGACGTGCTGTGGTTCTTCTTGTTCTTTTTACTTGCCGAAATCCCTGTTTTTGAAATGGTTCTTCGCCCTGTCGCTTAAAAATTCTCGAAGGTGCCCTTTATTGAATAACTGGGCTACCTCCTCTCTTAGTTGCCTGCAATCTTCCGTTCTGTGGCCATGGGTGCCATGATATTCACACATTTGATTGGGATTTCTCTGGGCAGGATCGGTCTGCATGGGTCGAGGCCATTTAGTGTCTTTGATGGGTCCGATAGCCGACACGATGGCGGATGCATCAATGCTAAAGTTATACTCCGATAACCGAGGAGCTTCCTTATATCCGGTAGGCCTGTCGAACCCACTTCTGTTCATCAGCCCCCGAGACCCTTGACCTCGATCACTTCTTTTGTTGCTTTGTCCGGGGTTGCGTCTCGATTCATTGATTCTGTGGTTTCCGTTATACGGTCGGTATCGATCCCTGATCGGACCTGGTTCTCGATTGATATCCCTTCGAGCAGCGGGTTCAGACCCCAACTGATCATCTTCGACCTTAATTTTTGATTGGTACCGATTGTGCACGTCAGCCCAAGTGATAGTCGGGTACTCGATCAGGTTGTGCTTCGACCGTCGTAAAGCCATCGAACTTCGTTCGTTCAAAACTTGAGTGAAAGCCTGAACAGCCCAATCGTCTGTGACCGGGGGTAGATCCATTTGTTCCATTTGAAAACGAGACATGAATTCCCTTAGCATCTCGTTATCCTTTTGTCTTACCTTAAATAGGTCTGACTTCCTGGTCTCGACTTTTATGGCCCCGGCGTGTGCTTTTACGAAGGAATCCACAAGCATAGCAAAAGAATCGATAGAATTAGATGGCAAATTATGATATCATATCATCGCTCCCTTTGACAGGGTTTCACCGAATTTCTTCAATAATACGGATTCGATCTCATCATCCTCTAGATCGTTCCTTTGATGGCATATGTGTATGAGGTGACATGTTCGTTGGGGTCGGTAGTTCCGTTATATTTAGGAATCTCGGGCATGCGGAACTTCTTTGGGATCAGTTTAGGAGCCGTGCTTGGGGGGAAAGGCTTTTGTATGAATTTTTTGGAATCTAAGCCCTTCAATATTGGTGGTGCCCCCAGGATCTGATCAACCCTGGAGTTGTATGTCTCCACCTTTTTGTCATTTGCTTCGATCCTCTTTTCTCTCGTATCTATTCGTTTGGTCAGTTCTTCGAACATCTTAGCAATTACGGGATTAGTCCCCGACTCCTGCTCATTTAATTTCACTATAGCTGGTTCTGTTGTATGGGCGATTTCTCGGGGTTGACTGGGCTCCGGTCTACTCGGTATCTGGGTTTGACTCTGCAACTGAGCGATTGCTTCATGTTGAGATTGCAACATTTCGAAAATCATACGCAAGTTGACGCCATTTTTCTCGACGTTATGGGTATCTCGAGCTGCAGACCGAGCGCCACCATGAATGCTATTTTCAGGTTCAAAATGTAGGTTCACCTCAATGGCCACATGCGAATTGATATCTATCGGCACTTCGATTCGAACTCCAACGGCGTTGACAAGTGGTCTTTCGGTACTGGTGTCAAGTTGTTGTTCTCATCTTGAAGACCAGCTTCGTTGTCAATAGGTAAGGCCATTTGATTGGTAGTTAGTCGTTGCTAATCCGAAATCCAAGATACTTACGGAAACAAGTGCAAAATGGTGTGTTTTTGCAGATTCGTATCAAATAACCACTGTTATCCTTAGCCCCACGGTGAGCGCCAAATTGTTTACCTGAAAAACGGATAGAGTTTAATTTGTACGTAGTTCTTATGATATGTGGCATAGCTTAATACAAATTGTAAGGATAAATAGAAATCTCAAATACGGATACCAAATAAACAAGGTTGAAAAGAAGATGATTTTTAGGACTAAGCAAGATGAATCAATTTATGAATCTTAAAAGAATAACTCTTCAATATAGGAGTGTATGGTGCTTGAATTTATAATGTAAGCCAAAGAATTGCCCTCTATAGAAATGTAGTCATCCTCTTTATAGTGGAGGATCCTACTTTAGATATAATTAAAAATACATAGTGGAGAACCCATGATAAATCAGCTTTTTCCTAATTTTCGCCGAGATTCTCTCCCTTAGTGTGTTTGCAGCGGCTCTTGTCTGTGAACTTGAGCTCGATCGTCCTCGGTGCTGGTCGGTATTGCTTCTAGAGCTCGATGTGGACTCGAAAATCGGTATCGGTTGGCCTCTGCCCCTTAAGCTCGAAATCATCTCATCATAGTTCGATTCAGACCCGAGCTCGATAATGACTTCGAACTCAGTGTTTGACCTATACCTGAAATCTGAAGCTCGTTCATACCATCTTCGGAACCCATCTCGATATTACGAAGTCTTTCTTCGATCCATTATGTTTCGACCTCGATCAATCGTATGAAGGCCGAAATCTATTTCGACTATATACAAAGTTCATTATTTGAAGGAAATTTCATCTAACAAAGTAGTATTATGTGAAAAGCATAGAATTATAAAGGTCATGGACTTGGAGAAAGTATGGATCGCCAAAGCAAATATGGCGTTGTGGTAAAGGAATAAATGGTGATCGATCTAGTACTTTGAATCAGATGTCATACCAATATATGTTGGGGAATTAAAAATAGTCAGATTTACAATTAGTAATTAAAAATTAGTTACAGTTTTAAAAGTAATAAAAATTTAGCATTTTTCATGTAAAATATAAAATTTGAACAAAAATACCCTTAAATATCCGAAAAAATTCTAGCATAATATGTTGGAGTTCGAATTTATTTCATATGAGATTACAACATAATGAGCTGGAATTTTGTAATGTGTTGGAGTTGCAATACAATATGCTGGAAGTTTATACGTAAGAGCTTCATAATCCAGCATAATATGCTAGAACTTTCCGTGTGCTAACGTTCCAATATAATATGCTGGAAATTTATACGCGTGAGCTCCATAATCCAGCATAGCATGAAACTTTCTGTGTTTCAACAAAATAATGGTTATTTTGCAATAACTTACAAACCCTGACTATTTTTCAATTACCAGCTTAAAAACTGGTTAGTCCGTGCTATTTTCACATATATTGTTGCGACCACCCATCACAGCATAGGGGAATCTAGAATTTAATTTCAGCGGATTCATAGTGTATCTGATACTATATTATATCGTACTACATTTAAGAACTTTTTGATGTTAAAGTATTGGGTTCGTAGAACCATTGAATGCGCTTTATATTAGACGTTTTGGCTTAATGATACTAAAGAATTGGCAATCTTTGTTACTAATGTATTCAAGAATTCTTCAGATCGTAAAACTTAACACTCATTAACGCTTAAAGGCCACAAGTAAAACAACTAACTAGAGTAATACCGTAAATTACATTTTGATGAGACACATTACTTAATGTTAGTGCCAATTGGATGCACGTTTCTCAGAGAAATTTTCTTATGCTACAGCTCCTATTTAAGGGGCATATAGTTATAGATGGAAAGATGGTTGATTGTTCCGGAAACTCTTCCAATATGCTAGTAATTATATCAAACAAACATTGAAAAAGTATAGCAGTGGATTGATAAAAACTAAGGGTCCACCAAACTGTATAGAGAACCAAGTTCTCTATCAGTTCCCACAGTACACAGCAGTAAATTAAGAACGCAATATTTACGTGGAAAACTCTCAGCAACCTATTGCAATCTAGGTATTAAACTCTTAATCTCTCACCTTTTACAATAACTCTATTGTAAGCTCTTTGTAAATAACTCTATTACAAAGATGCTCTCTTGATTAACTCTAGTCAATAACCAAAAGCAATGATGGTTAAATAATGTCCTACTAAATGCTTCTAAAAAGCTGTGTAGGAGTTACAAATAAATAACATAAGAAAAAGACACAGCAATACTTAAATGACACACGACATATTCAATGTTGGGATCTGGTCCTTTGTTTTGTAGCTGCTTTGTTCTTCAATGCACCTGATCCCTCAGAGGCGGCTGCACACTTGAGAGATTATGTGTTTTTGTAAATGCAAGTGTTAGGTCAACACCTTGTAACATGTTGTTTATATATGTGAGATCATGAGGGTAGTTACAAGGGCATTTCTGGTTTAGCAAATTGCAGCTGTTCTGATGTACTATTGCAAGTACAATGCAGCACTTTAACAACAGTATAGTTGACTTGCGCGACGACATGGGAACTGATCTTATATGTTCCCACTGTTGTTCCCTCATTCCTTAACTGGTTCTTTCATGAAGTTTGACAAATCATCAAAACCAAACTCGCGTAACTTATCATGGATCATGACTATCATGTTATGCAATGAGAATAAAGAAAATGCCAGTGACTCCTCAATAGAAACCCAAATATTATGGTTTTCAAATAGCAACAACTTAGTGGGCGTTTGGACATAAGAATTGTAAAATTCCAAAATAGGGGGGAAAAAATTTTCAAGTGAAAATGATATTTGAAATTTAGAGTTGTGTTTGGACATGAATATAATTTTGGGTTTTTTTGAAGTTTTATGAGTGATTTGAGTGAAAATTTTGAAAAACAACTTTTTGGAGTTTTTCAAAATTTCGAAAATTTCCAAAATGAATCTTCAAGTGAAAATTGAAAATTTTATGAACAAACGCTAATTTAGGAAAAAAGCGAATTTTTTGGAAAAAAAGAAAAATTTTCTTATGTCCAAACGGGCTCTTAATTTGTCGCATCATTTCAACTAGTCGAAGAAATATGTTACAATAGAAGCTTAAGCTTTAATACATTCCTAACAGATATTAGTAATTCACAGACCCATATTGCACCATAGCAGGAAGTATATATAGTTCGTAATGCTGACCTTTGTTGTCTTACAGGTCCGCAGATAGTGCTGCTGCATAGAGAATGAAATCCTCATCATCGCTATCTGAATCGTCGGACAGTGACTGCGACTCCAGTGATGCAGTCAATGATCTTTGCGGTCTCAGAAACTTGGGACTTCCTGGACCAACTGGATGGACTGCCAAGGACACAAATATTTTTGGACATTTCATTCAATTTATCAAAAATTTTTAGGCCATGATATCTGAACTTCTTGTGATCACTGAATCTCTGTAAACGAAAAACAACCAATTATAACAAGTCGGTTCGCAACTGTACTTGCTAGGTGATGGTAGGAACTTACCTCCACATGATTCGCCCAAACATCATTAGGAACAACTACTTTGTTAGTTTCTTGGTCCCATCCATATTCCGAGCATCTTGCAAGTACTTCCTTGAAATCCTTCCAATTTTTTTTAAGCCTATGATATTTCTGTTTGATGCATTGCTCATCATAATACCTTTTGCGCTTTCCCGTTCTAGCCCAAAACTCGTCAATAATGTCACTCCAACATTTTGCAGTATAATGATAAAAGAGTTGAACTCATGTTTCTTCATATTCTCATGTAAAATGTCAATGAGGACCAGCTCGTCCTCCTCCAACCATCGTTCAGCGTTTCCACCACGTGGCCTTTTCTGAGTAAGCAAAGGAAGAACCAATTATTGATGCATATTTCCAAAAGGTAGAAGCAAAACAAACATCCAACTCTCATAAGTTATGAGAATCAATCAAGAGAAAGAACATGATTATATGTTACCCTGTTAACTGGTGCAGGCGCAGTCTCAGTCACAGAATTCTCATCGGAAATCTCAAATGTAGCTTCATGTGCTGTGTGCATTACAGCACAAAATAAAGCAAAACACATTAATTGCAACAAACACATAAAAAACTATTAAAAGAACACTGTCAAAGCCAGTTATGATATGCTTAAATGGGATGTAAAAGAGATCAGATGGTGCTATATGATAATGTATACAATTTTCTTTTTTGATTAAGTACTAGCAGATACAATTATATTAAAAAATCCTGATGAAAATACGATTATATAAATATAAAGAGAGCTTTTGACGATTGAACAGCAAAGCGAAACTAGAAATATATAAACAAAATAAATTATGGATTCAAAAACTTGCGCTACTTGATCCAGGCTTTCCATTGGCAGCACTTAGAGTTGTGCAAGCAGGAAGAACAACAATAAGGGAGATTAATATGAAGCAAAAAATTAAGAGAGTCAGAAACATACAAAGAGTTTTGACATGAATCAACTCGAACTATTTAGTGCAAACCCCAACAAATAGGTAAAGGAGTATCTCTTCCAACAAATGAATTGAATCCAAATTCTGGAGAATAAACATTATCACTGTGGAGAGACACTACCAACATCCTAGACTTTATACAGCATCGAAGAGTTCAGAATCATTTCTATTTGAAGTGCATCTATTTCTAACATAGAAGTAATCAATCTTAATAAGTGTAAGCATCATGATAGGCTGAAAAATGGTTATCTAGAACCAGACGATACGAGTCCCTGAGTAGACTATACTCAAATACAAGTAGACTTTAAGAAGGCAAGTGCAACCATGTGCACCTCCATACACAGTAATAAACATTTTTATTTTAGAAATGCAGAGTAGAACTTCACTTAAATGAAAATGTAGGCGCTGGCTCCTCTTCTTCATCATCTTCTGAATCCATAAAGGGTACTTCATCGCCTGACTTATTCGCATTGTTGGGGTAGTCACTGTCATCTTTTTCACTCTGTGCATCTGTAATATCCTTGTTCAGATGTTCAGACAAATGGGACGTTTGGCCAGGCTTATATAGCGCATGCCTACCATGCACTATATGTAATTTGGTTCTTTTTTTTTCACATTACTATGGTTCTTTAAGAGTTTTTAAGCATTACTTTGGATCCGAACTCCACAAAATGTACCATGTTAAAACGGAAAAGATGGGGTTTTACTGTCTCAGCAAGTATTAAAAGAAAAAACAAATAGGAAAGATCAAAATGAGAAAGAGGAATTTGCCCAAGGCTTTGGTCTAGTGGTAAGAGTCGAGCGGGTGATATGTGAATGAGGCACACGTCACGGATTCGAACCTTGCCCATCTTGGTATTTAAGTGGTGAAGAGGTGAGGTGGGGGCTTTTATTTTCTTATGACGGTAATGTCCATGTGAACTTGCACGCACCTCCACTATTCCCCGGATATCTGCTAACTCCCACTAGCACAGGTACCGATAACTCTGTCCACCAAGTCTTAGACAGATGAGAAAAATCACCTAGTTTTTTTAATCTCCACTGAAACTTGAGGTCTCGGTTCTCTCTGCACTTCATTGACCACTAGAGGGGTGAGCTTACTATCCTTTTGAGTTTCTAATTGGTCTTATGTTCCCTAAAGACTAAACTCCTAGACTTTTATCCCTTAAACCCCTAGTAGGTTGCACAAAAATAGTGAATAGTCACACAAAGCTCAATTACTTAACTAAATTTCAAAAGAATATGCTTTGAGAAATACCCAGTAATAGAGAAAGCAATAATGCCAAATACAGACTCAAAACTAAGGGAAACAGAGAAAAGGGGTAGAATTTCAGAGTAGAGGAGAAAGGGGTTTTAACTTACTTTGAAGCTTCCTGCCCATGCACCTAAGAAACAAAATTAAACAAAAAAACAGAAAAAAAAATACAGAGGTAAAGGAATAAGAACTGAAGCTAGAATGAAAATTAACGCATAAAAAGGAAAAATACAAACCTTTTGAAACCCGGAGGATGTCTCATCTTTTTTAGCTCAAGTCTTAGCAGAGGCAGAGAGGGAAATTTCTTGCTCAAAGGGAAAACCATCAGCTGAACCGACCTTTAAGGAACAAATATACTCATCTAATCTGGAAAATGGTATAAAATAATATCCCTCGCCTTATACCGTTGGTTTCAAATATACCCTCATTTAAACGGAACATAATGTTTGGTCAATTCTAAATATCTTCTAATTAATTAAAAAAACTCATTAATCATATCCAAAAAATAATTTTTTAAAACAATTTATTTTATAAAAACTGGAAAAAACTAAAATTATTTTTACTAAAAATAAAAAAAAAAAGAAAATATTTTTTTTTCAATTTTTACAAAAAAGCTGCTTTAGAAAAAACTAAAAAATATTTTCTAAAATAATATTTTTGAAAAAACTGAAAAACAAAAGTTGAAAATCAATTTTCTAAAGCAATTTATTTTGTAAAAACTGGAAAAAACAATTACTAAAAAGTGGAAAAAAAAACGAAAAATATTTTTTTTCCAATTTTTTACAAAAACAACTGCTTTAAAAAAAGCTGAAAAATATTTTCTAAAATAAATTTTTTATAAAAACTAAAAAAAAAACTAAAAAGCAAATTTCTAAAGCAGTGTTTTTGTAAAAACAAATATTTTCTTCTTTTTTTCAGTTTTTAGTTAAAAATATTTCAGTTTTTTCAATTTTTAATTGCTTTAGAAAATTTCTTTTCAATATTTTTTTTCAGTTTTTACAAAAATATTGTTTTAGAAAATATTTTTTAGTTTTTTTAAAGCAGATTTTTGTAAAAAATGGAAAAAAAATATTTTTGTTTTTTTTCAGTTTGTAGTAAAAATGTTTTTTTAGTTTTTTTCAGTTTTTACCAAAAAAAAAAATATATTTCGAATATGGATAATGGGTCTTTTTAATTAATTAGGAGATATTTAGAATTGACCAACAGGACAATGACACGTGTCCCTCCGTTTAAAATGAGGGGTATATTTGAACCCAAAATATAACTGCAGGGGTATAGATGGCAATAGTATAACGAGGGGTATTCTTAGACCATTTTCGAAAGTAGAAGGATATATTTGGCCTTTTGCCGTTTAATTAATGCTCATGTTGATATTTGATAAGTACTGATATGTTTAGCGGGAAAGCAGGGTCATTCAAAATCGAACCGAAATCGTTAATCGAACCGAATCGAATCGATGGCTTATTGACTTATTGGTATCAGATTATTGGGGTAATGGACGATAAACGGATTGCGATTTTATAATTAACGGCTTAACGATTTGGGAACGGATTACTCAATTTTAACTGTTAAGAATTTTTATATTTACACTTTACTATAGATCTTGAAGTAGCAAGAACTCCTACGATTCAATGTCCATTCCAATTTATAACTTTCCCACCAGAATTTTCAATTCTATCCAGCTTATCAGGTTTATTAGGATGTGTACAGGAAGTCAGTCAACAAAATCACCCATAAAAAAGAATCCATTTCAATATTATACAAAAAAAATAATTTATTTGATTTAGCCGATAAACCGCTCAATAATCGTTAATCCGATACCAATCCTCACGTTGTCCAATTGGATGGCTAACAGATTACTACATTTATAATTCGATAATCGATAATCGGATTATCGGATAAGTACCCCTACTGGGAAGTGTTTGTTAATTGGGTCTTATCAATTGTTTTTTGGTTTTTTTTTACACTATTTATATTCGATAGTCTAAAAAGTGTATAAAATTTGTATAATTTTTGTAAATAACATACAGAATATATATATATNTTAGTGGTAGATTGGTCTAGATAGATTCCAAATTAAGGGCATGTTGTTTTTCGTCATTTACACTTTACTAACTGTGGAGTACTATAAAACTAAGGGATAATTTGTTTGGGCGCCACAAAAAAAAAGCATCAAGTTTTGCATATAACATTTGGTTTTCCATATAGAACTCTGCAAGAGAAAACAGCTCTATGACCAAAAATAAATGTGTTTTTCTCCGTTTCATTTTATTTGGTACTATTTCTTTATTAGGCAGTTTCAAAAATAATATTACGTTTCAAATTCTTAATAAGAAACTTTTATAAGCACATAAATATTATGATATGTTTAAAATTATAAATTTTTAAAAGTATCATTGTTATACAAATGTTATAGCATACTTAAAATCATAAATTTTAAAACTTTTCTTTTTTTATTAAAACTTTGTGTCAAGTCAAACTCGACTAGCGAAGTGAAACAAGCCTTTTTCATGAAAGATCGGTAAAATATAAACAAATAGATTGGTAACCAAGCCTTTTCATGAAACAAACCGGTCATTTACTTATATTTAAATTGTATTGTATAACTAAGTATAGGTTTTGATTTTGAGAATTTGTACTGAATTGGCACTTTATATTTTCGGGTTAATAATAGTTAAGCAATATTGAATATACACACAAAACGTTGTTATATGAGTTTGCTCACATTAACAATCTCAAATTCAAGTAAAGCACGATAAATCAACGACGAATGTAGTGTCAATTCACTTATGATGTAAGTTAATCGAATATAATTGGTTCGTATACTCAGCTCAATTAGTTTGAAATTAATAGTAATTATTGCTATTGTTGTTACTAAATTCTCATTTGATATGACAGAAAGAGGGCGAGTACAATCATATACTATAAGGATATGATTTTTATTTTTATTAACAAGGAAATCCACAACCATTATTTTTTAATAGCCCGCAAACTATATAGAAACATAAATTATACTAAGCAAGTTACTTATGACAGGCTAGACCAAGAGATATGCAAGTGAGTGTCGAACCCTAAACCAAAGTTCCATGCTCAACAAACTCAGCCACCTTGAAGGATAATCCTTTATGGCTCTTATAACTCGAAGAAAGTAAATTGACAAAATAAGTCTTTATTTTATTTATATCCATCTCTTACAAAAAATATGTGTATATAACTAAAATAAGGTGCGAAAAGTTAAACCCTTTTAGGGGTTTGTACTTTGTATAGACCAACGAGCGGCCGCTGAACATCCAAAAAAACATTCAGCTCGTTACCTCTCTGCCCCTCAGTAGACTCAAAGACAGAAAGAAGAAAAAAGATGAGCAGATCGGGTCAGCCTCCGGATCTCAAAAAGTAATGTCTACAATCTTTACATATTTTTCCTCTTTTCTAAATGTTAATGTTCATAATCTAGCTTAATTTCTTACTCCTTTATAAACTGACCTTTGTGTTTTTTTTCTTCTTTGGTTAGGTATATGGACAAGCAGCTCCAAAGTAAGTTAAAACCCTTTTGCTTTTACCTCTGATATTTAACCCCCTTTTATTTTTTTATCCTTATTCTGCATCTTGATTTGGATTTTACTTATGTTACTTTTAGTGGGTATTTCTTCAAAATATAGTCTTTTAAACTTACTTAAGTTGTTGAACTTTGTGTGATTTATTTGCTTATTCTTTTTCTGATACTTGTTTAGAGTTGAATACAAAAAGTTAGGTTTTTAGTGATATATTGTTTAGGGTTTAAAGTTTTGGGCATAGAGGACCACTTTTATGGCTTATGTATACTCTTGCTATTCTTTTTCTATTATATTTTAACTTAGTTAGGTTTTTGTTTGTAATAACTTTTGAGACACCTCTTTGGACTTAATTTCTCTTACTGTGCTTGGTATTGCTTCAAAATACCATTTTTTTTGGATTTGGTTAAGTTCTTGAACTTTGTGTGACGTTCACTTTTTTTTCCTGCAACTTATATAGGTTTCTGGGGAATATTGTTTTAGTAGCACTAGTCTAGTAGTTAAGGTTCCCAAGGCTTTGTTTTAGTGGTAAGAGTGCAGCTTGTGATGTGCACGTTACATGTTCGGGCCTTGCGACAAAAACTTGGTATTTGAGTGGAGAAGGATAGATGAGCGGGTCTATTATCCGCTGATTTTCGAGTCGTATGCCACTGACTCTTGGGGATATTGTGTATAAGAACAAATTAGTTAAGTTGCACCTAATATAGGGTTGAAAAGATATTGTTTAATATTTAAGGTTCAGGGCACTGAAGGCCGCATATGTTTTATGTATTCTCTCGCTCTTGTTTTTTAAAATTTAAGTTCTTAGGATTATGGCATAAGTAGGTTAATTTATGTATTCTAACGCCACGTGTTTGAGTTCACTCCCTAGCACTTCATCACCCTGGTCCCTTAGTCTTAAAAGATAAATTGTTGAGTATTAGAATGAAATATGTCCAAACAAAACGTAATGGATATTGAGGATTCATATAGGCAACTCCAACTAATTTGGGTTTAAGGCATAGTTGTTATTTGTTTTTGTTTCCAGAATTATCGAGACTGTAAAACCTTTCTCTTCCCTTTTAACATGATGCTTCTCAGGTTGTACGACAAGTGCTGATTTTGCATTTCAAAACATTGCAAATGTTTTATCTATGTTTGCATGTGAGGAAAAAATTAAGAACTGAAGTGCAGTGGCGTATCAACTACATCTAACATGTGAAGAAGAGTGACTTTTATTTAGATGGACATGTTAAAAAGTAAGGCAAAGTGCATCTAAATAAAAAAGTAAGGCAAAGTGAAACACAAGATGGCTCTTTGTATCTTGAAACTTTGCATTTTCAATGCAGTTTACTGCCCACCATTATTTTGTCTCTTCAAGTGCAAGCCTTGCAGGGTTTACCATATACATTTTGTTGAACTAACAGAAAAAGAGATATCTTAACCCAAAGGAATTTCATTTAATTGGTGTAAGAAGTTGCAGTACGTGTACTGTTTAAGGCAATGTTCATTGTCTGAATCGCATAACCTGTTTTATTAGCCAATTTCCTTCATGAGGTTGCTGTGCTGAATGAAGTAACGTTGTATACCTTTTGCAGTCAAGTTGAATGCCAACCGCCTAGTTGTGGGGACTCTTCGTGGGTTCGATCAGTTCATGAATTTGGTTATTGACAACACTGTTGAGGTTAATGGCAATGAGAAGAATGAGATTGGCATGGTGGTGAGTCCCTGCTGCCGGTTTTTACTCCCTCCCTCTCCCCTATTTATAAATTTGGCTTTGTAAAACTGTGGTATATAATCAATTCTATTTTTATCTAGTCTTGGAATTCTTATATTTTGCTGAAAATTTTGTTTTCTAACCTTCTTAGCGTAGTTATCTTAAAAGCTCGTAGGTTCTAGAAATCCCTCAACTATTATTGTCATTATTTTTCAACTTGGTGCATGATTGATCTTGCAGGTTATTCGGGGTAATAGTGTGGTAACAATTGAAGCACTGGAGCCTGTCGCCAGAGCACAGTAATATGGATGATGCGATCAGTAGAGGGATCTTTATCTTTAGTAAAAGATGTTACTGCTCTTTTGAAACCTAAACTACTTGTGTATTATACTGGGATTAACCAGTTTTTGACTATATATAAGTTTGACCGTCTATTTCTCTTCCAACTTTTGTTATCATTGAGTTGTGTGCTCTTTAGTTGGCGTTTTTTCTCCATATTTTAGGAGTTGTGAGGGAGCTTGCAAGCAGAGGCGAGTGTATTGTTTGTAGGCTCAAATACACCTAATATTTTCGACATGGAACATAAATATCTATGTGACACTAGTAAAATTTCAACAAATATTAAAATTCTGAAACCTTCAAGTTTTAACTATTAACCTGCCTCTGTTTACAGTTGATGGATCCTCGGATTGTTAGTATTATACAAGTTCATTACTGATCCCTTAGGTCTATTTGTGAGTGTTTATTAGGTGGTGTAAATTTGGATAATCAATCATTCAAATAAGCCTAAAAGAATAGTTGAAGACTTGAATTGGGCTATATGGATCTTCTATATACACTAGATTATTTTTATTTTGATAAATACTGTTTAGTGATATGGTAACTCTTGCTTAAAAAGTATTGCTCTGTGACGAAGATAAAAATCACTTGTAAGATTCGTTAACATTTCTCAAACAGGAGCACTTACAAGACATAAGAATTTTTGCATTTTATCATTGCAGAAATAAAACTAACATCTAATGCTTTTTGCCACATAAGTATAATAGTATTTCCTAAGCAATAAAAAAACATGTCAGCATATGAATGGAATTGGTATCTTCTCTGCTGAAAGTATAGCAGCATATGAATGGAATTGAGAGATGGCTGCGATAAAATGAAAGAATGGAATAAGCAGAAAAGCTCGTTACTCTTTCCGGGCGGCAGAACAAACACTTCCAATTATAGTATGTTTCACTTTGACAAATACTATTTCTCAGCGCACAAAGTACAATATTCAGCTGAAGTACATGTATTTTATGTCATGGTAACGGAATAAACCCCATATTGCTCATGTAATGCATATCCACATGTTGATCTCCACTCATTTTCTTCAACTTTCCAATTTTGCACTGAAAAAAGAAATCTAAACAGAGATATAAACAGGGTGTTAATAATGAGAGAAATTAAGTGAAGAATAAATTACAAAAAGTTCCTTCATTTGCTCTTTTCACCAATTGCACTTTATTTCCTCATAAATCACATTTTACAGATAATGCCAACATCTGAAGAGGCGTCATTTGGGATTACACACATGAACATGTATTCTGATTGATCAAAAGACGAGTATTTATTAATCATAACTGCTGGAAAAGTGCAGGATATCCAGGCATACTCAGACATTCAATTCTCCAACTTCTTCCTCCAAGCAAAACGGATTCCATTTTGGACTCTCGAAACAAAATCATCAAAGGTTTTAGTTTCCTGCAAGTTGTAAGTCGACTCAATCGACAATACACTATGGTGGGTCTAACAGGACAAATGAAGCTGTATTGCGAAAAAAAGAATAAATAAACCAGGAAATTTATTCAATCTTTAAGAAAATGAAACCACGCCTCAACTAAGCTCAATCAAAAATCCTTACCAGAAAATGCACTAAGAAACCACAAACCCAACATTTATGAAGTTATAGTATCATGGGCTTGCAACGCAAGAAACAAACCTGATCCCTGTCCACTAAGACTGCTCGGACACCTTCAGCAAAGTCGTTCTGTAGAGCAGATCTTATAGCAATGCGATATTCAGTTTTCGAAAGGAAGAAGTATTTATTTTTCATTGATTTGTCATAAGCCTTCACTAATGAAATCATTCTTAATGCATTCCAAGTGTAAGTATTTCTTACAAAAGCATAAAAGAATATTTGTAGTGCATAAAGCAAAAAATAAGAATAGGAGATCTATAAATACTGCAAAACACCAGAATAACCACACTATTAACCTTTATTCTGTTTCAATGGTATCTAAAGAAAACTTGCCAAGTTGGTACCTTATAGTCGTAACAAGTTTTTTTCATTAGCCAGACCAATCCCATTCCACGTCTAGAAAAAATTAAAACTATATATCAGATTGTGAGAAGAAAAACTTTAGCTGACAAACCATTTACTATTAGCACAAACATGGGCAGCCATTACGCATCCATCATATACGTCTTTGGAACCATCCGCGCAATCTATAGTACAACCTGCATATGCTCTTTCTTTTACAGTTAGAATCATGAGTAGTTCCTAACTGCATGGTGGTAAAAATAAAATATAGCCTGATAGAAGTATTTTTTCTCTTAATTAAACACCACTATAAAAATAATATAAATTATGAAACATATGTTCTTAAACAAGTCAGCAGTTTGAAAACAAGACAAAAGTTAATCAACCTAATGGAGACCATCTTCATCATTTCTAGTAAAAGAAGTTGGATAGAAATCACTCACATGAATGCATAAATAGACATGAGAAAATATAGGGATTTAAAATGGTAGAACCAAACCGGACCTTCTTCATTCGTTCATATAGAAATGATGGTTGCGACAAAATGAAAGAATGGAGTAAGCAAAAAAAGCTCATTACTCTTTTTGAGGGGCAGAACCAAATTGATGCACATATTGAAAACTGAATAAAATGTCCTAACGTTTCATTCCGATCAATGTCAGAATTGTTATCAAGTGCCTCAAGGTAACTGCAATGGAGTGGGAAACATAAACTAAATTAAAGACAGCTCTTTTTTGACACAAATACAGAACATGTGCAAAACACACTGATTTAGTCCTTTTCAACCAAAGAATACTTTGTTGTGCTGTAATAATGAAACATTAACATCAAAGTGATTTATTAACCGATAGTAAAGCTAAAGGATGAAATAGTACGTTATGACATCTTGCTTGAATTGATGATTTCTCTAAGCATTTGCCAAAAGCATGGACTATTCTTTTTTTTGTGCAAATAAACCAGAGATGAAGTTGAAGTATGACCAAGCGATTATTGGAGATAAGATCATGAAAAAACAAAAGAGTACGTCAAATAAAGAAAAGCTAATTGAGACACCTATAGAGATATATGAAAGGGGAGAAAAGGAAATAATAAAAGCACAGAGATTTAAGAACTTGACAAACTGGATATCCCACCAGATTAACAATGGACCTTCTACCAAAGTGTTTAACATTTTGATCATCTTGAAGTCCCAGGAGGCTATCGTCTTTGAGAAACTGTTGATACTTATGACACTTGAATTGATCCATAAAACCACAAAATTCTTTGTTAATCTCCTTGCACAATGGATTCAACTTATTATCATTCAAGCATACAACAACTAAATACTAATCCTTTGTAGCTGGATAGGAAACCATTTTAATATATCCAACGTCTAATCACCAGATACTTGAAACCAAAGCTCAGTCAACTCATTCCCCAGTAATTAGCAGATATTCTTACAAAGTCACTCTGTGGCTCCAAAATTGAGTATGCCTGTTTGGATGGGCTTAAAATCTAGTCAAATCAGCTTTTAAGCAGATTTTAATTTGTGAAAGTGTTTGGCAACCAAAAAATAGGCTTAAAAAAAGTTAAAATCTGCTTAAAAAAACCAAAACCAATAAGTTGGAAAATCCAACTTTTTCTAAATTGGCTTAAAAGCCATATTGATTTGACCAAGGATATTACATTCTTATCCCTTATATTTTTTCTTAATCCCGAAATTACCCCTAAGTAAAACCCTACAACATACTATTTTTTTTCTCCATTCTCCAATATTTGTAATTTCTTGAAGTTTTTAACGTGAAGCAAATAATAATTTTTTAAATAATGTTTGATACATTCCAATATTTTATAAATATTGTTCTTTTGATTTTTTTTTGGTTTCATAACATTTAATTTTTTTGGTCGTTGAATCCTTTCTTTTTTTAAAAAAATTAGTGTAACTATATTCTAAAATCAAATCATTAAATGAATTTACGTGTTACCTGAATTTGAAGCTATGAACGAAAAATATAATATTATAGTCATCATCTTCTTTATAATATTAACAACTTTAAGAATATTTCAATCATTTTAACAAGAAAAAATGTTTACCAGCACTTGTTTACCAAACACTTTATCAGCTTATTTTAAGTTTCAGCACTTTTATCCAAATACGTAACTGTTTATTTATAAAACAAGTTTCAACACTTATAAAGTGTTTTTAAGCACTTTAACTTAAAAGTCTCATATTTTAAGTCAATCCAAACGGGCTATATCTTGTGGCAAATAAGGAGCATACGACATGTACACTCCAACAAAAGACGGAGCATTAAGAATTAGCAAATTGTTAATATGGAAAAGAAAAACAATTCCTTGTAAATATGGGAAGGGTTTAGAATCTCTTTAATTAGGAGTAGGAATTGCTTTCTTTTTCTCTTTGGATAGCTTGTAAACTTTGTTTAAAACTCAACATGCTTAGGGAATAATCAAGCAATTCTATTCGCAAAGTATCTAATTTTACTTCTTCTCTTTTTATACACTTCCTGAATGTTTACGTTGGTATAATCAGCCAATCTACATCAACTCCGAACATAAGCTCATCGAATTTTGTTTCCCTCTCCTAACAAGAATCCTGAAACAAAAATAATCAGTCACCAATATGAAGGAAAAGAAATAGAACAATATAACTAACCTTTCAACCATGTAACTATCTTTAAACTTCGGAAAACTCAGGAAAAAACCCAATTTTTCTGTTAAAATACCATTTTATATTCCAAAAATTGATATTTAATTTACGAAAATAAAAATCACAGTAAAATAATAAGGGTTAAATGACGAAGAAGGAGAAGACAGATGAACTTTGAAGAAAGCGAAGAGGGTGAAGCAGAGCAAAATTATGGTAAAACAGAGATGGAACTGCAGTGGAGTGCAAATGTTTCAATCCATGAGATGGGTCTCAAAAAAATAAAAATTAATGAGCTGGAACCCAAAAAAAGAGAGAAACAAAATCTGAAAACAGAAAATACCTAATTTTAATTCTAAATCAAATAATGATTATTGTCTAAATAAACGTGTGGACTAGAGTGGATAGCTCAAGTGGTAAGAGGTTGTGAGTTCGAATCACACCGAAAGCAAGGTGGGTAGTTCTTGGAAGAAAGGAGTCGATGATCTATCGAAAATAGTCTCTTTACCTCATGGCAGGGATAAGGTTTGCGTATACACTACCCTCCCCAGACCCCATTAGTGAGATTATACTGGGTTTTGTTGTTGTTGTCGTGGTCTAAATAAACGCGCGCCAAATCAAGACCGGAAATGAAGCTTCGCAGTACAAATTAATGAAGTGAACTTTGCAATTCGATTACTTTGATGAAAAAAGGCTAGAGCGGCGAAGAACCACAACCGAAACCCAATTTTTCCCCTCAGAAAGCTTTCACATATTGATTAACCTATGAATACAAAGTAGTGCAAAATCCACAGGGAAATGGAGTTGTAACTTGTGTCAGCAACGCATGTAGCGGTGACTGCTGAGTACACAGTTGCATGTGAAGTGACGAAAATAACCCTCTGTCAACAAGCAGGGATGTCGACGGAGAGCTGCTTCTGCGCTCTTCTATATAGTAGGAATTCCATTCTATTTAGGTACTAGCTGCACGGGCCAATAACATTGCTAAACAATACATTATTGTTTCAAATTAAAATGAGAAATTTTCATAAAGCACTGTTGAGAGTCAAACTCAAAACCTGTGAGAGTTTATTATTTTTTTGTTTCAGTTTAAAATAATTAATTTTTTATTTTAATATTATATGTAAATTTACTATAAAATTTAAATATAGCTATGAATGCTAATTTTTTAAAGTATATATAGCAACAAATAGTAAATATAATTATATTATTGTATCGCATAATTCTTTCAAAAGAAATTATATTTATATTGGTCCTAGCTATTATCTGGAAAAAAAAATTTAAAAGAAATTTATTTCATGATCGTGTTGACTAAATAGCACGAGTTTCTGCCTAACTTATATGTTTTGACAATAAAAAATTTTAACATCATAGAAAACATCAGTTTTTATATATTATTTCAAATGAAAAATGTGACCGTTCAAATAAAAAAAATATTTTAGATTGTGTGCTACAACCCAAGAATTATTACGAAATTGTCCCCTTTATTTTACCACTTTCTTTTTGCGTCCTTTATAAATTGGCTGAGAACTCTCTTTTTTTCAACATTTGATCATCAAATTCTTTTAGTTATCTTTCACTTTTGTGTCTACTTGTGATTGAAAATTATTTTTTAAAAGTATAAACTTTATGTTGGTCCTCAAAGAATCGAATGGAAAAGTAATATATTTATTGGTAAAGAAATTCAATATCATCTAACTGGCCTTTGTTATCACTTTTCTTCATATTTCTTTAAATGTATTTACATTAGCTTTCCATTTAATTTGCAAAGTAGCTTTTTCCTTTATACCTATGTCTACTTCAATCTATAGTTCTAAGACAATTATGTTATTAGTATTGATTGACGACTTTGCATCCACATGTTCAACCAAAGAAGTTTTAAAAGAACCCAAAGTACCTAACAATGGCAATAGAATTAATAAAATCAAGCACCTATTAGTTTAAATCTCTTCATAAGTCCTGGTAAGTAAAATTAACATGCTACACTCCTTTCTATTTGTCATTACCAAAAACTTTTTGAAAATCTTTGAAATATATTTTCATACATGGTTGAATTGAAAATTGTTTAATCTTTGAGTTTTTACTTGTATATAAAATGATCATCTCTTTAAAACTATTCCCTTAGATTACAGTAATTAAAATATCACTGTTCAAATTGAACAAAAATAATTTATCACAGTAAGAACAATAAAAATAATTGCCAGTACAAATATGGATGCAAGAACCTAGTGATAATTTTTCCTCAATGAAGATCGACTCCTCTTCGAATTATATGCTCTTTTCTTGATTTTTCGCTCTTTAAATTTCAAGCAAATTGAGATATTAGAGAAGGATGATATTTTTTAGAAATAATTTTTTTTTAAAGTTTTGATCATCCTAAATATCAATTATCCATATCACACACCTTTAAACAAAATGAGATATTAGAGAATAAATGTAATTTCTAAAAGAGCCTTTGGTTTATCCTTTTTTTAAAAGTGTTGATCATCCTAAATTTCAGTTAATCCTAAATGGCTAAATCCTAAACGTTAAAAGAAGAAGATATTAGGGGGAAAATCTAATTTATATTTTACTTGTACTTTCTCTAATTTTACTTAAAATTTTTAGATTATCGGAGTTAACAAGTTTACTCTAATATCAAATAGAACAATTTTTACATTTTCTATGTAAGTTTAGTTGGCTACGTTTTTGCTTATGCAAACTTTACTACTTTTTCTAGTCCCTATTCCATAATGTATTTTTTACAATTAAACTAACTCTTCCTAGCTATATGTATCAAAGAGGTTAAACTAACTAAATAGGAAATGAAATATTAAGGCGGCAATAAGTTATGTGTAAAATAAAGAATTCAAATGGGGCCCAGTGTTGTAGTATGTGTTTACGTGTGACAAGATGGATGTTTCGGGGCCCACGTTTAAGAGAAGATGTACTCCACTATATCTCTTCAGCCCACTTTTATGTGGTTTTTCTGTCCAAGCAAGGGAGAGTACAAATATAATGCAATAATGTACAACAGTACTAAAGCAGATAAATCATGAAATACCAAGAATGCCTCATGACAGGCAAGCATGTTGACGGGGTCCTGCCTGCTATTCCCTCTTATAAGAAGTAGGAAACACTTCGTACCAGTTTAACTGAGCATGGTGAACATAAAGTAGACCTGTCAAATGGTCCGGGTCGACCCACGAATCGGCCCGCATAATCCATTAAAATTGATCTTTTAACTGGTCCATGACTTACGAAATCCTAACCGGACCAACTCATTAATTTAAGGGGTCTAGGCCAGGCTATAATATTTTGACCCACTGAACCGAACCAGACCTCGAATCGGTAGCTGACCCACAGGTCAACCGGCCCGGACCAGCTGACATATATATATATTTAGATAAGTGATAAAAATTTGAATCCAAAAATTGAAGAAAAAATATAGTACCAGCCACTATGAGGCGTCTTGTCGAAATAGTCGAATTTCACATGTATTAGACTATTAGTTATAGAAATAGTCGAATTCCATATGTTTCTCAAGTTTTAATGTTAATAAAGTATGATTTTTCTTTCATTTTTATTCTAATTGACTTCAATGACATGTAGTAATTTCAAGTTCGTATATACGTATAAAGTTTAAATTTTTTATCACTTATTAGTTTTTAACTTTTTTTTAATTAAATTGGATTCAGCCCATTAGGGTCCGAGTTAAGAAATTACGGGTTACGGGTCCGAGTCGGATCAATATGATTTGATTGGTGGGTCTAATCCGGACCGACTCCAATAGAAAGTGAATCGGAGTGGCCCGATTAAGGACCCATGAGCCAAGAGTCAAAGGGTTCAAGTTCGGGTTTGGGTCGGGTCAACCCATTTAACAGGTCTAACATAAAGGAGTAAAGAGATTTTATGAAGAATAAGAGCTATGAAATTTAAGTAAAGACTTACGATGCATCCATTCAAATGTGTAAAACCGAGACCATCAACTCTAGCTGCTTCAGAATAGCCAGCTCCCAAGTCGGCACAGCTAGCTTGGAGAAAGAGGGTTCAATTGAATCCCCTATGTGCTGAAAAGTTATTCTATGCAAATAGGGTTAAAATTAATTTTTTGGGTTATATATAAGTTGTTGAATCCTTTTGACACAATGAACATTTCTAGTAAAGTAACAAAAGGGGGTTCGAAAATTGCTTTAAATTATTGATTCATATTCTATGTGTTTGAATTTCTTTGTGTTAAACACCTGTTTGACCATAAATTTTTGATTTTTTTTTTTTTTTTTGAAAACACTCAGTTTTTGAACAAATTTTGATTTTTTTTTCAAGTTCCCAAAATCTGGTTTAGGACCGTTTTTTGGTGAATTGTTTTCCACTCACAAAATTTCAAGTTTTTTTCTAAATAAAATAATGTCGAAACACAATTTCAACTTTCAAAAATTATTTTTCAACACAATTTTAATTTTTGTTTTCAAGTTTCAACCAAATTTATATCCAAGCCCCAGCTAAATCTTGGTTCCACTGCCCAAGTCTTCTGCATTATAGCCTCGTTTTCATAAAACTCATGCTTAACCTAGCCTATTACCTTGAAGTCTAGCAACTTCCTCTCTCATTTTAAAATAACTATTACTCCTAGTATTAACTAGAGAGTGAAACAATTCTTTTCATTTTTCATTACATTTTTAGTATCGTCATGACAAATATATTCCTATAAGTTTCTTTATCATTTTTCATACATTTTAAATATCTTTTAAGACTAATATGTTCCTATGGTACACCTAAAAAATTCAATGTGTCAATTTATCTTTGAAAAATTGTCGAATTGGTAAATGAATACTTAGTTTATACAAGTTCAACAACTTCTAGCTAGTTACATTTATTTAACAATCAATTATTCTTTCAAACTAATTTTTAATTGTTATTTCATTTTTCATTAATTACCACGATTTAAATGATCTTCTGCTTAAGTTGATTTTACCAGCATGTNCTATTAGCAGCAATACTAATATACAGTACAATTAAAAAACTAGCATCAATAATGGTATTTCTACCGGAAAATAATCAGAAGGCAAAATTTAATGGGCCCAACGGAAGGGCTGATTAGACCCAACTGAATGAGGAAAATTTACCGTAATGTACATGCGGCCAACAGGTATATACGTTTTATGTCTTTAGGGTATACAATTCACAAGCAGTATACAATAACGTACAAGTCAACAATAACAACAAACCCAATGGAATCCCACAAGTGGGGTCTGGGAAGGGTAATATCTACGCAGACCTTACCCCTACCATGCGGAGGTAGAGAGGCTGATTCCGAAATACACTCAGCATGTTTTGCAACGTGATTCTACTGTTTTTATTGTTGTGCAACGTGCAAAACTATGTTGTGCCATTTTCTAAGGGGAGAATTATGTAAATGGGTAGGGGTGTATAATTTTGGAAATCTTACAAAAATGTTCCAAATAAGTTCCAACTTATCAACCTCTAGTCATCAATCAATCTCCTTTCATATTTTTAAGCGTGATCAGCAACATTAAATGCAAGACGGAAAGAAAATTTCATGGATGAGGTAACAAACAAGGTGATGAAATACAAAAAAAATATATATATATATATATACAAGATTCCAAAAATCTTGGCAAAAAAGGACCTTTTTCAATGGGTATGGTTGAAATTCATTGAAAACATATAGATGAGTCATTATACAAATTTTGAGAAAGATTGGAGGTGATTTGAACTGATTTGGTATCAAAATTCGTAGTTAAAATCGAGTTCAAAAAATTCATCTGCGATACATGTATAAGACACACAAGTATACATGGATATACATGTGATACACTTTTTAATACAAATATGATACTTATTATGTGATACACATATCATGTTTTTCATGTTCATCTCTTATTTCGAATTTTCAATTCAAACTATACCTATTTAACGGGCAGGGTTGACCCGGTTTCGGAGCGGCCCAAACCGGTATTAAACCGGACCGGCTCGGGCCGGTGGTAGGGGCCGGGTAGGGCTGGGTTTGGGGGGTAAGGGGTTGGGACGTTTATATTTTTCTTACCGGTTAACCAGACCGGTCAAACCCGGTCAAGAAAAATCACTGTTGAACCGGTTAACCGGACTGAACTGGACCGGTTCAATGGCTATTTTTTGATTTTATTTTTATTTTTTTAAATTTATTTGACCGTTGCCCAACAAATATTTTTCAAGAATAGCCCTTTTTGGGCAATTTTTTTAAAAAAATAACACTTTAGTAATTACTAATTTAGCCCTTTAAAAAACTATAAATACGCCCCCCTCTTCTTCATTTCTTCACTCATCTCTCATTTATCAAACTCAAATTCCCAATTGTCATTCTCTCATTCTTCACCTAAATTGCAATAAACTATTTGACTCTCATTTTTTTTGGAATTTAATTTATCGTATTATTTAAATTTTGAACCTTGAACTTTGAACAATTGACGTTTCTTCGTGGTAATATTGGAGTTGCGAAAATCATCAAGTGTTCAACTGTTGCATCAAATAGTACATTTAGTCAAGCAAGACAACAACTAAGAGACATCCGTCATTCATTGGGAAGCAATATTTTGGAAGTTTTAGTATGTTTCAGAGATTGGATTAGATCGGAACGAAGAAATCAGGGACGTGAAGATGTTGATGAACCAGAAGACGAGGAACTTGGAGATATATTAACACACGGTCACCGATCTGAATTTAACACTCCAGAAAATGGTCAAGAAGTTTATATTGATTATGAAGAACTTACTAAGACAATGCAAAACCTTTGAAGTTATGAATTTATATTTAATAATTAAACTTTAAATTTACTCCTTTTTCGTTAATTTAGTTGTTGCTAAATGTAAAATTTAATTTGCAAGTTTGAAATAAAAAAAGAAATTGCAAATTATAAGTTATTTTTTCATCTTCATTGTATTATATTATCTTAAATTCTTAATGAAATATTCAAGTATAAGGATTTTAAAGCCTTTGCATCCTTTATTCAAACACTCTTTTTATAAGATTATTTTTTTGTTTTATATTTTTACTTTATCTTAATATAAATTATGGTAGTTATACAAAATACAAAAAAAAAAAACCGGGCCCAGACCTGCCCCTTTGGCCCGTAACCGTTCTGGTTCATTAAATCACTGGATGGGCCCAAACCCGGTAAAACCGATTGGGAAAAACCAGTACCAGCCCGGATTGGTGACCGACCGGTCACATTTTTCTTCAACCCGGACCAGACCGGCCCGACCCTCTATCACCTTTAATTCAAACCACTTCAAAACTCTGTCAAATCATCCCAAAACTGAGATTCAAACTCCTTAAGATGTACCCAATCTATTCTAATAACACCCACTTAAAAGAAAGCAAAAATTTGACCTTTTTTTTTTGCTACAATAGCTAATTGACTAATATTAGTAATATTTTATAAATTGGGTAATTTTTGTAATAAGCTACTTATAAATGGACATAGCTGGTAGCTTCCCTATAATTTTCTTCCTCCGCGTGGCTAATCATGTAAAAGTCCATAATAATCACAGAGCAAAACTTGATGGGCCAAATTCAGAGGCCCAAACCCAACAATAAATCCATCTTATCCATAACCCGAAAACCCGGTCAAAAACTGGATCCACTTCACTGTCCTCTATAAGAGCTTGCCAAAGGCCTGTGACCCACCCTTAGGGTTGGTTCGATAGACTTTTTCTACACACTACTACAAACTTATAAGTGATCTAGGAGAAAAAAGATGGCAATGAAATCTGTCGTTTCACGCCCTGGACTCCGTCGTTTAATGGAAACCAGCAGCGTAGCTCAGCGATCATCCATTTCAGGCCTTCGCTATTTCAGTGACGGCAAAGGTCGTGTCCTCGGCGAAGAAGAACGTGCTCAAGAGACCATTTATATTCAGGTACTCATATTTTCCCTGTTTTCTTTTTCATTTTTCGTAATATATGTGCTTTTTATTGTCATTTACTATTTGATGGATTGTGCTAGAAAAATAGAGAGAAATGGATATAGATGATTTATATAGTTGACCCAAAAATAGGCGGATCTAATCATTCATAGACAGAATTGAATACTTTCAGCTCGAACCTGATATTTATGTGTATGCGCGAGCATATGTATGTGTATACTCATGAGAGTGTAAAACAATTACTATAGATTATAGACATACATACATATATCATATATGTATATTATTTGTGTGTAAGATAAGTACTCCGTACTATAACTAATAGATTGTACTAGTTCGAAATGCATGAACTCTAAGTTTTGAATTGCATTGACCAGTGCTATTAAAAGCCACCGATTCTGAAGCGATGAAATGCAAAGCAACAGGTTATTGCTTCATAGGTAAAGCCATCCTCTTCAGGGAAATCTGCTCTTTAAACAATGACAGGGAATTTATCCTATCAAAAAGCAGTCGGCTCTTTGAATCTCAACTTTGAGAAGTTTGATTAATATCAACATTATTGAATTGGATGCTAAGATTAGTTGTTTTAATCGTATATTGATTCTTATAGTACTAAATTCATATATGTTTAGTAGTTACTTATTTTTACTTTTCTATAATTATAAGCTTTACTTCAATGAAGCAAGTGCTTCACTTCTTGATTTTTGCTTCAAACCCCTAAGACCTTGTCGTTTTTTAGCTTTTCGCTTTTAAAGACATTGGTATTGTTTCCAAATAGTTGGGCTTGGAGAGAATTTGATTGATTTGTTCTCTTTTGAAATATGATGTAAGTTCGTGCTAGGTTATTCATGTTTTTTTTGTGTGAATAGAAAATGGAAAGGGAGAGGTTGGAGAAGGCAAAGCAGAAGGCAGAGCGAGAGAAAGCTGAGAAAGAGAAGGCTGATAAGGTTTGGATCCTTCTTTATTCTTTTCTCTTGTTTATATTACAGTGATACATATACTCGGTATGCCGTTCTACTATGTTGTTTCTTATATGTCTTGTTTTTTGCTACTATCTTAGATTTTAGCTACAGCTGGAATTGTTTTTTTAATGTAAATGGAAAATTGCATATTTTAGTTCTCATAGGGCGAGAATTTCCTTAGGATGCTTGAAATTTATTTCCCTCATTTTGTGACCAAGCAAAAAGAAGATTACCCTCTCCATTTGGTATATATCAGTTTGGGTGTCTCTGTTTGGCTGTGCTTAAATATTGAATGTTTTTCCTTTATCAAAATATTATAGATTAAATTGGGGAAATAGTTATTCCGATAAGGCATCCAATTTTTACTCCATTAGACTTCCTCCCACCAGCTTGTAAATAATATGTCACCCTTTTTATCAAAGCTGCCACTACTCTGCAACCATTTACTCCAATCCACCTTCCACTACAATTATAAGTAAAGCTTTCACTCAAAACAAGAGCCTCTAGAAAATGCGTTTTCTTCTTTTTAGTAAAACATTGCACAATTGAGGAAGAAAACTGCAAGTAACAGTGGAAAAGAGAGCCATTTTAGGTTCTTACATTACTGTACTAATCTTTCTTAAACTCTCACTGGTAAAGTTTTGAACTAGGTGTAGCATGGATGGGAATTGCAATATGGGTGAGTCTGACATATATATTTTGAATGCCTGCAAATCTCAAACGTGTTGTTATCTGATTGCTTACAAGTCCCCCATCCTTACCCATTCTACACAACAAAAAGATATGAAACTGAATTGTTGGATATTAGCTTCGGGAATGTGGTATTTTAGGAAAGAATATAGTGAAGGGGAGAAGGGAATTATCAGAGGGTTTGGGGGCTTAAAACTGCTCAGTTTCATAATCCTTTTCATTTGTTTCATATGTAAAGCCTTTTCATAAACGAAGCTATTTTTACTGTTCTCACCACTCACACTGCCATCCTTGATTGCACATTTATTTCTTCAATCTCATTTTTAGTTAGAGAAAACAAAAATAATTGAATTTTGTGAGATACATGTGCGGAATTGATGGTTTGTCTAGCTACAAATATATGCATGGGTCTTCTATTAAATTGTTAGTCTATGTGTGTATGTGATTGTACTGGAGCCTTTTCCTAACCCCCTTAGTTTTTATTTTCTTTTAGCAGAAGGCTGAAGAAGAGGGTCACAAGAGCTGAAGTCTAGGTTCGCCTGAACTGACTTGTCAAAACTCTTGCTTTCAAGTACCTTTGACAAATAAACGGATAACGACTCTGTGTTGCTCTTGATAATGCTCGTGCTTGTACAAAGTATTTCGGTAGTTTGTTGTTATCCTCCATGCTTGTCATCCTTGAAGTTTTCTCTGTGGCTGTAAAACACGCGTTGTTCAAGAATCAATATCATCTTGATTTTGACCAGTTTGGTTATGTTGCATCGCATTTTGAGTCTTTTAGCACATGGTGAGTTATGTGTAAACTCGCTGCTCATGAAATCATGTGAATTGATAGCGAGGCGTGCCTATTAATAGTGATTCCAATGTGCATAATGATGTCCTTACTGGGTCTGCCTAGGGAGAATCAGGATTAGTTGGGACAATGATTCCCAGACAAACTATAGGATGCAAGAAGAAAAGGTAAACTATGATGTGGTTATTGCTCTTAATGTTTGTCTCTAAATAATACTCCCTTTGTCAAACAAAATAAAGATACTCATCCGTAATCTCAAAGGCGAAATATAATTACGCTAACCCTTGAAAATAATCAAGTGATAATTATCCGAGTCCAAAAGCATCTAGGTCCTTCAGTAGAATTCAGAATAATCATCATTAGAAAGAAATAACAACTTGCAATTCAGTGCATGTTACCGTATCATTCGTAAGTTTCGATTCTTAAAAGTTATGATTCCAAGATAGAGAAGCTAGTATTGCAGAAACTTGTCTAGCCTTGCTAAAATGTATTTAAAAGATTTGATCATATAATGTAAAGAGCATACAATCTTACTGGTGCTATTATCCCGTTTATGTTGCCTTAAGAAATGCAGGCACAAAAGGTTGACTATTTCAGAATTTCAACAAAGTTTCTGTCAAATATTATCTTGGCAACAAGAAAGAGAGAATATTGAATGTTCCTGATATTACTCATATTTTATGTACAGCTCTAACCATTTTCCAGGTTCATTTACCCGCTCTGTAGCCTAGAGGCGGAAAAATAGCACAAAAACAAAACACCAAACTACCATAAAGATACAGACTAGTAACACAAGACAGCAAGAACCATGGTATAAATTCGTCATCACAATTAAGGCAACCCAAAAAAAATAATTTGAACGCCATTCTGTTCTTCAACCATTTGCGATTCATTTCATTAACTGTTCTCCCCGTGAGTACACCCATTCTGCTCACATCAGAAAAAAAGAAACCATTCTTAAGCTCCTGGACTAACTAAAATCAAATGTCAATCAACTAGAGAAAATTAAACTTTACAAGTTCGAAATTTTGATTGCAGGTGACCCTTCTATTTACAAGTATGAGTGTTCTGTTTCCTACATTTTACCTCTACATGGTAAAGTTGCCTCTTTGAGTTTGAAAGCTGCTTTGAGGAGGCACTGGGTTGGTATCCACTGCAGTTGTAATATCATGGATGCTGGACCTTTTTCGTTCTTTCTTCATTGCCTGCTGTCTAATGAAGTATTTTTGAGCATGACTTGCCACTTGTGTTGGCGTCCTTGTTACCACTACGTTTCTTGAAATGCTTCTCCAGTCACCCTTCCCGTATTTCTCCAGCCCAATAAGGAATAACCTATGCAAGAATATTAGGATTTTTGGTCACATAACAGTCATAGAACAGCAATGCTAATACAATTAGATATAACACCACTAATATTTCAATTCTATCTATAAATACTCTAGAGATACGCGCTAATCGGCCATCCAATTGCAAGGGCAAGAATCTATCAAAAACATTTCTAAGTTCATAGTTGCAAGCACCAAATTCACCATACCACAAGCACAATCAAACAGCCCTTCTGAATTTATTGAAAGATCTAAATAGTGAACAATGAAAACTGCGTCTATCAAAATAGTCATTTTACTCTCACGAAGATTAGGAGGCCAACTGTCTCAATCTGAAAAAATAGTCCCACACCTTCCTCCCAGATTGAAAATCCCCATTTTGCTGAATGAACTGTGGCGGATGTAGAGCACAAGTACTGGGTTCAGACACGGAATATAAATATATATGTGAAAAGTCACTAGAATTTTAACAAAGCGTGAACCCATAAAATTAAAATCCTTGATGAGCCTCTGCGCATGAATGATATGTTTTCAATGTAGTTACAGACAAGAAAACCATTGCATATATGCTGGATCACAGAAACAACAACAACAACAACAACAACAACCCAGTATAATCCCACTAGTGGGGTCTGGGGAGGGTAGTTTGTAAGCAGACCTTACCCTTACCCTGGGGGTAGAGAGGCTGTTTCCGATAGACCCTCGGCTCCCTCCCTCCAAGAACTCCCTACCTTGCTCTTGGGGTGACTCGAACTCACAACCTCTTGGTTGGAAGTGGAGGGTGCTCACCACACGAAAAGAAACTTCTAAATTATCTCAGTTTACCGGTACAGAGAAAAAAATAATAATTTATGAATAAGACTACTCTTAGGATGTGTGGGGTATGAAGAAAAATGTTTTCCAACTTTCCATGTTTGCTTGGTTTATATATTTTGAAAAGTAATTTCCTCGTGAACTCATTGGAGGAAAATGACTTCCCTATCAAAAGGAGAAAAAATATTTTTAAAAACTCTTTCTCAAACTTCCGCACCCTCACCCTCACTCCNCCCTACCTATTTCGTCTCATATAGTATTTGCCTATACTTTTCTCACGAAAACATTTTCCTTCATACCAAACACACCCTTAGGCAGATACTTTTCTCTGCCTTTTAACTAAGATCAAGTGTAGATGATTACTCTTAAGGCAGCAAAGTGAACCAGAAATTACATTTTTCCTTTTTTTTTTTTTTCTGAGTAAAATAAAATCCCTTTTCTTTTCCACTGATCAAAGCAGAAAGCATAACTTTTAAGTGATCTGATGGTGTAAAAAAACTCTACAAACCGTCAATGTGTAAAACTTAAACTGGTACTGTTATTATATATCACCCACAATTTCAGAAATGATAAAGAACCACCTGAATATGTGATAAACAAAACCCAAAATACCAAATTCAATATGTACACCAAATTTCAGCCTTTAATTAAAAGATAGAAAAAAATCACGAAGATTTTTTAATAGCACTCCCATATTATCCAACAATTAAAACAAGAAAAATTCACGAGAAGATATTTAAACCAAAAATGCACATAAGGGGGAATGTAAAAAATACCGGTGTTCTTCTTCGGTCCAAGGGGTACCCTTCTTCCTCTCAATTTCAATGTTCTTCTTGTTTGATTCAACCGGATCATCCGTATAGGCCGGGAGTTCGATCCGACCCGAATCAATTTCCAATAGATCGTGAACGAGGTCATCGTAATGAGCGATTATATCCTCGGTTGTTTTTCCGGGTACATGATCGGCGATTAATTGCCACCGATCGGCGATGTTTTCGGGGTACAAAACCAGGGCGTGTTCGAATAGCTTGTCCTCGTCCCTCGTCCATTTCGACATTGAATTGAATTATTCGGCGCCGTTTGAATCGCGCACTCGGGATTTAAAGAAGGTTTTTGGTAATTGAAGGAATGACCTATTACATTACAGAGAGAAGGAGAGTTGAGGAAAATGTGGTTTTCTTTAAACCGGTCATTGGGTTTTCTCGATTTTATTGATTTTTTCGGGTCTTTTAAAATAAAATCTTTAAATATTTCTTTAATCCTAGTAAGATACAATTTATAAGGTATTTCTAAAAAAAAAAGAGATGAGTCATGAAATTATACTAAAATATAGTATTGTATACGGTCGGAATCGAGCTCACGACATGGCAGGTTAGGCTCGGAACATGATAACCAAAGACTGAAGATCGACCCCGAGTCCCACCGAGCTAGAACCCAGGGTCACAACGCCTGTCTTCGAGAACATTAAGTACGTAATCTCGGAGTCGACCTTAGCCCCAATCGAGCTCGAAGAAATATTGTTAGCATAACCAATAGAAGACCGAAATATCCGTGACCGGTCGGATATTATGGCGGTAATCTCGGCACGAATCAATAAGTAACCATCAATCAACGAATCAAGAGATCTTTTACCTTTTATAGAATTGTACCTAAAGTATGAATCTTCTACTATATAAAGGGGGTCTGATGATTCATTGGGCACATTGTAACACGTATCCCAAAGCAATACATTATTACTCTATTTAAGTTCTTACTACTCTATTTGAAGCTCTCATTTCTTCTGTCTTGATATTGATCGAGATACTTGGGTTGAGGGTGATTAATTCCTCAGGACTAATACTGTTCGGTTTGCATTTACTTTTCCATTACTTATTTCAATTGCAATCTAATTTGTCGTTTTGTATCAAGTTAAATCACGTGTCCTTAAAGCCACTTACAAATTCAATTGTTATCCGATTTTGAGGGTAAAAAGTTTGGCGCCCATCGTGGGGCTAAGGATAATAGTGGTTATTTGGTACAAATCTCCATAACACACACTACTTTACACTTGTTCTTTAAAGTGTCTTTAATTTCAGGTTAGAGCACAAAATGCCAAACTCTCAATCAGCAGCACCCCTACATGTGGACAACGAGTTAGGCCATCAAGGTGAAAATAACAACATAGCGCCCTGTCACTACCCAAAATCCTAACATGTCGTGATAACGCCTATCTCGATACTAGGCAAGCCCATAATCTCGATAAACCACAATTTCTCTTAAGTTTGAAAATACAATAATTTAATACAATACAAAATCCCACAAATACTGACACAAACACTCCCCAAAACCTGGTGTCACTGAGTACATGTGCATCTAATATGAATACAGTTTGGAAAATACGGTCTATAATAGTCTGAGACCAAATACAGTAAACAAGGAGATAGAGAAGGAGAGACAAGGCTTGCGGAACACGACAACTACCTCAAAATCTTCTAAAAATCTACTGCATGAAATGATCAACACCCGCTATGTCCGGAAATATCTGGATCTGCATACGAAGTGCAGGGTGTAGTATGAGTACAACCAACTCAGCAAGTAACAATAATAACTAAGGAACTGAAGATAATGACGAGCTACACAATTATAGTTCACTTTCAGTAATTCCAGCAAAGAATAGACATACTTTCAAATCCAGCAGTTTAAGTCAAATAAATTTTATACAGTTCAAGTTCATGTAATTCGGATATAAAATCTTTCAGAGATTTCACAACAATGACAGATAGCATCCAAGTGCAACAACAAAGGCAAAGCAAGTACAGCCTCTCAGGCAACAATCACTCAACTCATCACAACAGCTCAATCACTCGGCTCTCAGCCCTCAGCACTCACACTCAATGGGTACCCGCGCTCACTAGGGGTGTATAGACTCCAGAGGGGCTCCTACAGCCCAAGTACTATAATCTGCACGGACAACTCACGTGTTGCACGGACAACTCACGTGCTATAGTAGAATATATGGATCCGCACGGCCAACTCACATGCTGCACGGCCAACTCACGTGCTACACGACCAACTCACGTGCTATAGTATAATATAAGGATCCGCACGGACAACTCACGTGCTATAATAATATATCTCACAATCAGGCCCTCGGCCTGGCTCAGTCATAAATCTCTTCAGTCTCTCGGGCTCTCAGAAGTCATGAAAATCAGCCCAAACAACAATGATATGATGCATCAATAATAAACAATAGAGACTGAGATAAAATAATCAAGTAAACTGTGACTGAGTACAAACAATAATTAAATAAATAGTTCAACATGTACACGACCTTTGTGGGTCCCAACAGTACCAACATATAGCCTAAACATGGTTTCTAGTCAAATTTTTACAACACATAGAGAACACATAACTAACAACAAGTTATTCAACTTTATAGTCACACGGGACAAATCAAGTCACAATCCCCTCGGTGCACGCCCACACGCCCGTCACCTAGTATGTGCGTCACCTCCAAAGTTATCACATGATACCAAATTTCGGGGTTTCATACCCTCAGGGCAAGATTTAAAACTGTTACTTACCTCAGACCGTGAAATTCTTATTCTGCTAAGCCCTTGCCTTGTGAATTGGCCTCCAAACGACTCAAATCTAGTCACAAATAATTCGTTTCAGTCAATAAAATTTATTGGAATTAATTCCATAAGAAAATACAATTTTTCCATAAAAATCCGAATTTTAGCTCAAAAATTGCCCGTGGGGCCCACGTCTCGGAACCCAAAAAAAGTTACAAAATTCGAAAGCCAATTCAACCACGAGTCTACCCATACCAATTTTACCAAAATGCGACCTCAACTAAACCCTCAAATCTACAAATCTTATTTCCAAATTTCTAAGTTCCAATCTCTGATTTACACCTCAAAATCATGTAATCCAGTCAGATTATTCCATGATAGTTCAATATTATGGAGTAGAAATGATCATAAGGGACTTACCTCAAGTTTTTCTCGAAAATATATCAAAAATCGCCTCTCCTCAAGCTCCAATTTGTCAAAAATGACGAATGGGAGGAAGTCCCTGCTTTATAATTCTGTCGAGACAGCCTCGATCTTGACCTTCGATCGAGGTCCTCGATCCTAGGTCTCGATCCTGGCCCTCGATCATGGCCCTCAACCCTGGCCCTCGATCATGTCTTTGACCCTGCCTTCGATCGTGGCCCTCGACCCTGGGCTCGATCATGGCTTGATTTTGGGCTCGAATCTGAGCTCGAATCTGGCAGAAGAAATTTCCAGTAGAAGGAAATTGCAGTAGCTGTTGTAGTTCAATTTTTGATCCGTTAACCATCAGAAACTCACCCGAGACCCTCGGGACCTCAACCAAATATACCAACTAGTCCTAAAATAGCATACGAACTTAGCCGAATCTTCAAATCACATCCAATAACGCTAAAACCACGAATCATACCCCAATTCAAGCCTAATGAATTTTGAAATTTCAAGTTTTCACAAACGACGTCGGAACCCATCAAATCATGTCCGATTAATCTCAAATTTTGCACACAAGTCATAAATGACATAACAGAGGTATTTCAATTTTAAGAATCAGATTCCGACCCCGACATCAAAAAGTCAACCCCCGGTCAAACTTCCCAAAAATTCAACTTTCAACATTTCGCCTAATTCCACTACGGACCTTCAAATAATTTTCCAGACACGCTCCTAAGTCCAAAATCATCATACAAAGCTATTGGAATTATCACAATTCGAATTCGAGTTCGTTTACACATAGGTCCATATCCGGTCAACTTTTCTAACTTAAATTTTCAACTATGAGACTAAGTGTCTCATTTCACCCCGAATTCCTTCCGGACCCGAACCAACTAACCCGATAAGTCATAAATCAATTGTAAGGCATATATTGAGCTGTAAATGGGGGAACGAGGTTATAATATTCAAAATGACCGGCCGGGTCGTTACAATGTCCCCCTCTTAAACAAACGTTCGTCCTCGAACTAGTTTAGAATAATACATGGAGTCTCAAATAAGTGTGGATATTTTCTCCACATCTCCTGCTCAACCTCCCAAGTAGTTTCTTCGACTGGCTGGCCTCTCCACTGCACCTTCACTGTTGCTATGCTCTTTGACCTCAGTTTTCTAACCTGCCGGTCTAAAATAGCCACTGGCTCCACATCGTAAGTCAAATTACCGCCTAGCTGTACCGTACTGAAATACAGAATATGAGACGGATCCCCGACATACTTTCGGAGCATGGATACATGGAACACTGGATGAACACCTGATAAACTTGGTGGCAAAGCAAGTTCATAAGCCACATCTCCAATTTTCTTAAGTATCTCAAAAGGCCCAATATACCGAGGGCTCAGCTTGCCTTTCTTTCCGAACCTCAACACACCCTTCATGGGTGAAATCTTGAGCAGAACCTTCTCCCCAACCATGTAAGTAACATCGTGGACCTTCCTGTCAGCATAACTCTTCTGCCTAGACTGCGTCGTGCGAAGCCGTTCCTGAATCACTTTGATCTTCTCTAAAGCATCCTGAACCAAATAAGTACCCAATATTCTAATCTCACCCGGCTCGAGCTAACCCACTGGAGACCGACACCGCCTCCAATATAAAGCTTCATACGGAGCTATCTGAATACTCGACTGGTAGTTGTTATTGTAAGCAAACTCCGCGAGTGGCAGGAATTGATCCCAAGAACCCCCAAAATCAATGACACAAGCACATAGCATATCCTCTAATATCTGAATAGTGCGCTAGGACTGTCCGTCTGTCTGAGGGTGAAATGTTGTACTCAACTGAACCTGTGTGGCCAATTCTCGCTGCACGACTCTCCAAAACTGTGATGTAAACTGCGTGCCCCGATCTGAAAAAATGGACACTGGCACACTATGTAGGCGAACAATCTCGTGAATATAAATGTGATGACCCAAAAGGTCATCTTATGTTTTAGAACTCAAATCTGCGCTCTTAAGCCATAAAAAATTTCATTTTTACCCTTCTCGATTTGCGCACGCAGTCCGGGCAGGTTTCCGGAAGGCTTTTATGTTGAAAACTAATAAAAATAAGAATTTTTTCCTTAAATGTTGATTTTAGTTGACTTCGATCAATATTTTTGGTAAACAGGCCCGGATCCATGCTTTGACGGTCTCGGTAGGTCCGTATCGAATTATGGGACCTAGGCGTA